CGGGGCTGGTGAAACATGAGATAGGTCCCTGCTCACCCTTGTGATACGATTTTTTTTTTTTTTTTTTTTTTTTTTTTTTTTTTTTTCAAATTCACTATATTAATAAAACTAGTCAAAGGCACAGAGCAGTGGCTAACATGAATTTTGGCCCTTCTCTCCTCTCCTCCGATGCCTGGCAAAGGCAGCCACAGTGCTGCGGAGCAAACAACCCACCCCACAGCACATCAGGGCTGCGTGGCTTTATGGGACCAGGCTCCATCCAAAACCAGAGACAAACCCCACTGGCAGCCCTGAACAATAAAGATTTTTCTGCCTTCACTCTCATACAAAATAAGGTCACAGAGAACTGAACTGAAACGGCTAGTCCCATACAAGAAGAGGCAAAACAGTAACTTTATTGAACACCCACTGACACTTTTAACATCTGTCTGCATTTACCCTGTGCCCTGAATAGCCTGCGAGCAGACCAAGTCATGAATCATCACTTGCTGAACACTGGCCCCGTTTCCCCTCTGGCCCTGTTGAGTTCCTGATGGTGAGATGTAACCTGAAATATCGAGACATCCACCACCCTCCTGGGAACTCGCTCTGCCCCACATCTCTGCTGGGAGGACAACCACACACTGGGGTACCAAGGCAAGGAGAGGGACCAAGAAATCCCAGCAACAAAGAAGCATCAAGGATATTTAAAGGTATTCTTTTAATTACAGACTTCAAGCTGAGGTGAGACTGTAGGCTTGGAAAGGGCTCCCGAGCACTCCCCCATCTTTCCACAAGCAGAGGCGGTGCTGGTGTAAACCGAAGGCGCAGTTTGCATCAGGCTGCACCAGCATGAAGCTGAAAAACCTGTCCTGTGGTGCAACGGCCCCAGCTCTCCTCCGCTCTGCTACTTCCTCATACACGGGCACGGAGCAGCATCTTGAGACGCAAACTCCTTTTATCCAGCAGGACCTGCCCCGCGTTTGAGCTTCAAAGGATTTCACTGGTGGGCCGCAGCAGCAGAAGCGCAGCAGTTCAGCGTGTGGCAAGTTCAGGACTAAACACCAGCGTTAAGAACGAGGCAGAAAAGGTCACTTCTCAGCCACAGCCTGAACATCTATTGAACACGAAATTGGCAGCTAGAGAAGCATTCAACGTGCCATGAATGGCTGCCTTGTAGATTCAGTTTGTAGGAGCCACGCATGTGGAAGCCTGTGTCCAGCAGTGGAAAAATCTCACTAACCTATTTTTATCACTGCCAGCAAAGTCTGGCCACTGTCTACACGTGCTAGGTTCATTTAAAAGTGACTTTTGATAGGGTTCAAGGTCCTCAGTGCTGGCAGTTCAAATTAGGTCGTTTTCTCAGAGCTGCCAACAGGCAGAAACTGAAGGGGTGGCTATTTTATAATCATTATAATTACACAGTGGCCTTAGGCATAAACCACCCCCTAAACATAGAAACCCAACACAACCCAGCTTGGGCAGTGCTAAGACAGTGCTTGTGCTCCTTTGCTGGAGCAGCAACTCTCACCCAGGGAGAGCAGCCCCCCAGCCCTCCTGGGGCTGATGGGGTGTCCCTCAAGGACAGATTTTTTTTTTTTTTGCTTTTGCTTCTTCTGTTTCTGCACAGACTTTACTCCACAGCAAAGCACCCGGCTCCTGGCACAGCTTCCTGGGCTCCACCGCACACCCATGGTCTCCCAGGATGCTCAGACCTTCACCTGCCTTTGCCTTATCAGCCTTCTGCCAGCAGCAGGCTAGCAGTGAAAAAAAAAAAAAAAAGAAGAAAAAAAGGACAAAAAAGTTGCTGTGGTAAGTCAAGAGAGACCCTGCCCTGCTTGTATTACTGCCTGCAGCTGTGACATCACTCCGCAGAGGCTTGCGAGCGCCTGTCTTCAGAGCGCCTAAGAAAACAGGGCAGGGCTCAGCTTCCCCCATGGAAACTGCATCTGACTCACATTTAGCACTGGGATTTTTGTCCCAAACACTTTTTTTTTTTTTTTTTCCTCCTCCACCCTCAGAGCAATCGCTGAGCCAATCTACAGCAAAGTTTGCTTGGACTTAGAAATTCAGCTGGAAAACAATAGTGCAGACATACAGGCAATTCCTAAAACCTGTTTGCAAACACTTAATATTCTTTTCTGCTGAAGGGTGGAGAGGGTGAAGGATAGTCCTGACTGGGGTAGCGTGTCAGAGCAGATCTAGGCTTTTCTGTCTACTGGAGCAATTCTTTTAGGAGCCCTTTTTGAAGTCACCCTGCAGGTAACTACGTTCTCCCCTTCTGCGAATGCATATTCTCTACACTGAGTAAGCTTGAATTGCTGACATGTAGTCAGAATGTGGCATGATGGATTTAAAGGGTCTGAGAGGACAGGATTTATTTCCCCCCCTCAAAATACGTTGGGCTCACACCTCTCTTCCTACTGTTGCCAGCTTCTTCCCGCATCCCACACCCTTCCCACATCTCACAGACCTGCTGGCATTTTCCCTTGTACTCAGTTACGGTGCTGATGTGCTAGGGCTCCTGTAAAATGACAACACGCTGGTTTACACCAGAAGACTTTCCCAGCTCTACCGTTAAGGAGAAAGCTATTTTCCAGCAATAAACGCCCCTGTCCTCACAGAAAACCAGGGTCTCCCTGCTATGATTTTCTGACACTGCTGACTGCATCTAGCCCAAGACTCTGTTCCTCAGGCAGGCTACCTCTCATTTTCTGCAGTCTGAAAAAAAAAATAATTTTTCTTCTGGAATAATTACCTTGTAGACAGCTGAATCTAGCGCTCCTTAGGAGTTTACATAAAAGTGCTTGCTCCTTAGTCAAACATTTATTTTCTTAAGCTTGCAACAGCAGATAATGCCATTTCCTGGTGCAAAATTCCCATATTCTGCCATGTGCTCTTATTGTTTTTCCCTACTGTCCTTGGCTGTTTTACAACATATAAACAGCCATATCCTTCAGCAGCTTGGCTTTATCTTCCCTTGTTTTCCTGACAGCAGCCTCAGAGAATTACAGTGCAGAGTCCACCAATATTTCCCCACCTACAGAAGCCAAAACCCAGCAGCAACCTGTGCTCAGCCCCTTCACCACCCATTTCATCAGCTCAATCTTCGCATAACATCACCCATCCAACAGTGTTTCAGAGGGTGTTTTGTGTTAGTGTCTAACATAGGATGCACTCCCATTACCAGTTATCATCTCTTCTACTATCCCAATCCAAGCAAGTATCCAGACTGCTCTGATCCCACAGCTCTTTGCTATCCAAAAGCAATTCCCATAGATTTACAATATAGAGTGACATTTGGCCACAACACAGCTACATTAGACAAATTTAAGTGCAGGGGATTAGCAGCACCTGGGATTAACAAAGAAACCTGGTTGTGTTAGGAAATAAAGCTGCTTAAGCTCTTTCTGGAGTGGTTTCTCACATTCCAGGCAGGCTTTAAGGTCTTAACACAGTTACACCTTTCTGTTTACTGATGGGGAAGCTGGGATAGCAGGGAAAAGACAATGAAGTATTTTACTTTTTTATGCTTTCCTTCATCCTATTTCTCCCAAAAGGCATTACATCCCACCTCTAGGATAATTTTTTCCTACTCCTATTTTTTTCTAAGCATCAGTACTTGCACCTCTGCAGACCCAAACCAGCACAGATCTTTCCCTAACAGGGATCCTTGCTGAGTCCTGACTCACTTCACTCTCCCTCCCCCTTCACAAGCATTACACCACCATTAGTCACTCCTGCCACAGCACACGTATGGAAAAAAATTCTCACTCTGACATTGTCCCAGAAAATTCTATTATCCCTTTTGTACACCTGAGCTTCTACATATTACTTCACGAGTCATATTTGGCTCCAGCTTCCTTGTGACAATCCTGACCGCATTTGGAGAGGGGAACTCATTCCTTGCTTGGACAGCCAGGGCTACACACACCAACTTTTAGTGCTGCCATCGCTTGGAACCAAATTCTTCAGGAAATTTGGTCCCCACTGCTACTTGAAAAGTAAAACTTCTCATCATATAACCCATCAATATTCATTACTGAGAAGTACTCATTCCAGACGAGCTTGCAGACTGCAACCAGGTCTTGCATCTGTAGTTCATGTTCTTGCTAAAAGGAAAAGTAAAATTGAAGTAATAAACAGTAGTTCTCTGATAAAAAACAATTTGCCCTTCTACTGATTACTTAGAAAACACCAACCTACACACAGAATGTTCAAAGAAGGGCCAAAGATTGGTCTGTAGGACTTAAAAAGAAAAATATGGGGGGGGGGGGG